AGACTCCCAACCACTGCGCCACCAGGGAAGCCCGGTAACATGTTTTTGGTCTGAATAATTCCAGTGATGGCCTCAGCGGGACAGTACTATAGTCTTTCAGGAATCATTCCTGGTAGGCCAGCCTACAGCCCATTCTTCTGGCCCTTCCATGATTTTATCCTAATCACCCATGGATTTTCACCTTCTTAAAATGACTATATTGGTTTCTGTTTCCTGCACTGAACTCTGACTAACACAAGTCTTGGAAAATATTGCTCTGTCTAACATGGAATGCATGTCCCCTCTCAGCTCCTCATCCTCTTGTTCTCAGTTCAAGTGTCTTCTTTTCTAGGAAGCATTCACCAACCCCTGCAGCTGAGTCAAATACCTTCTTTTCTGTCCCAGTCATAACCCTAGGATGGCACTTCTCACTATTGTATAATAATGGTCTATATTTGTTCATTACTTGTCTATAAAAATTGACCAACAGGACTTCCCTGGTGGCGCGGTGGTTAAGAATCCGCCTGCCAATGAAGGGGACACGGGTTCGATCCCTGGTCCGAGAAGATCCCACATGCCGCAGAGCAACTAAGCCCGTGCACCACAACTGCTGAGAGGCCGTGAGCCACAACTACTGAGCCCATGTGCCACAACTACTGAAGCCCACTCACCTAGAGCCTGTGCTCCACAACAAGAGAAGCCACCACAATGAGAAGCCCACGCACCGCAACGAGGAGTAGCCCCCGCTCGCCTCAACTAGAGAAAGCCTGCATGCAGCAATGAAGACGCATAGCAGCCAAAAATAAATAATATAAAAAAAAAATTGACCAGTAAAGCTACTTTTTATTAGTCGCTTATTCCCAGGTAGGTGCACTGTAAGGGCTCATGAAGTGAATGAATGAAGAAATAGGAATTTCCATGAATAACAATTAACAACCCATAAAGAAGGAAATGCAGTAGCATGGGAGAAGATGTGTAGTTTTTCTTGCAAAATGGTACCATGTGCAATTATATATAAAATCAGGCAGGCCTGAAATGCCATAAGTCTATGTATGTTCTCCTTAGACCCCTAACAAAGACAGCCATATGGGCTAGACCAGGGATTGGCCATTTTTCTCTGTAAAGGGTCAGACAATAAATATTTTAGGCTTTGTGGGCTATGTGTTCTTTGTCACAACTACTCAACTCTGCCATTTTCAAGAGAAAACAGCCTTGCTACTGGCTCGAAAACTGACCCCCGACACTGAGGGCACAGAGAGACTGAAGAAAGAAGTGAGCCACTCCAGACTGGTAGGTGGCAGGTTTAATAAGCAACGGAACTTACACACGTCTCCACACCCGCCCGCCAGAATCTTAAAAGTTTATACAGAGGCCTTACCGGGTTCAGTCACGTGTTCAGTGGCGATGGTCTCAACAACACCTTGCTCTCTCAAGGCTGCGTCCCTGGAACAGCTCCCACGGAGGGAACGGTGGGCAGAGGTGCCTTCCAAGACAGGGGAGCATGTGAGGCGTCTCTGAGTGCGCAGTTATGCCCTCTTGATGACCTCGTCCAACACACACACACACACACACACACACACACACACACACGTATATATAAAACAGATAATATATAAATAATGGGAATGGTTGTGGTCCAGTAAATCTTTACTTATGAACACTGAAATGTGAATTTCATATAATTTTCATGTCACAAAATATTATTCTTCTGATTTTTTTCAACCATTAAAAAAATATACAAACCATACAAAAATAGGTCGGGAGGTGGCGAGTAGTAAGGGGAAGCATATTTGGCCTGTGGGGAGTAGTTTGCCAGTCCCTGGTTTAGGAGATTAAGGAAAGGTCTGGCTTTACAGTTTGGAGTGACTTCGGTTTTTTTTAGTGGACGTTTGTACGCATTTCAATTTATTCCCATGTAAAATGAAGATTATATCACTTATGTAATAACATATTACTAATATAATTAACTGTGATATTAAAATAATAATTGCTAAAATGTTTTGAGACCTTGAGGACAGGACTTTGTCACTCGTAGGTCTTCTTAAGTTCCTAAGTACTGGATTAATTTAAGTGTTTGATAGATAACATCGAATAGGAAGGCCTTGATGTTCTATATATTTGGCAAAACTGCTGGTGAGCAGTATGTGGTAAGAATATTCTCCCCTTCATTTATCGCATGAAAGGTAAAGAGGCACAAATAATATGTGGAAGATTACCACCCTGCTTTTGTTCCCATCCAGAAATGGACAAATCACCTTAATTACAGTTTTCAATAAAGCAGATGTCAAGAGTTTTTAAGCCCACACATTATACCTGCTTTAGTTTCTAGGAGAAAATTTTTCTTGGAGTTTTTCAAAGACTCATGTAACTAGAGAGGTGGGAAGGGACACCTCCCTCTACCCACAACTCACAGGTGAGGCTGTCTTGGACGTAGACTTTTAAATGGTAGCTGGTGGCAGGACTGGGGCAGACACTGGTCTCTGATTCCCACTGCAGTGCTCTTTCTACTTTACCAGGCTTTAGAAAAAAATTATCTGCTTTGTTCTAATAAAAATTGTCTAAGGTTAAGTCCAATCATGGGTTTATAACTAAATCACGTGTTTCCCTGAGTTGCAAAGGATTTCTTTTATATCAAACACAGAGATAGAGTATAAGAAGCCCTAATTTCTTATTTCTTATTGATGTCACTAACCATTCCGCAAGGTCCTGAGATGTGAAACCAAGGAGAGGGAGGGATGAAGATTCAATGGCCTTAGTAGAGACTAGAGGTGAGTGAGATCAGAAAGAGATAAGCAGAAAAACAGTTCTTGCCACCTAATGGACAAGCATCACTAAGCTGTCTTCTGCTGCTTTCCTGTTGCATTTGAGAAATTAAGGAATAACATCCTACTTCTTTTAGGCATTCCAGCCTCTCATTTTTGCCTAAAATTGCCCAAGTATAGTGAGCTCTGCACAACTTCACAAAAAAAGCCACCCCAAAACAACAACAAAAACCACGCAGTTCCCACACCCTCTGTGTTTAAACAACTCAGGGAGACCTATCTTGATCATCTTATTTAAGACTGGAACACCTCTACCTCTACACCCAGTCTCCATTCCCCTGATCTCTCTTTTTCCATAACACTCATCTCACTTAGTATACAACATAATTAACTCATTTATTATGTTTATCGGCTATTATATTTCTCCCCGCAACTAGAATGTAAGCTCCCTGATGGCAAGGATTTCTGTTTAGTTCTCTGATTGTTTACCTCGAATAGTACCTTGCACATAACAGGCGCTCAGGAAATATTTGTTGAATTAAAAAACGAAAATGAGAAAATGAAGAATAGGGAATTAAGGCACGTCTTGACATATTACACGGTTATATTTGAAAAAGACTTGGACAAGATGCAAAGAAAAGATGGGGACAATAGAATCATATGAAGACAAAGGAAAAGAACACTTATTGAACACTACGACATGCCAGGGACAACACAGAGCTTTATGTCCATTACCTTATTATAATAGCTATTATTCTGTTCCTTCAGTTGATGAAACTGAGGCTAGATAACTTGTTCAGGTTCATACGACTGGTAAGGGGTGGAGCCAGGGCTCAATACCCACACCTGACTGCAAAGCCCATGTGTGTCCCCACTGCTTTGTAGCAGACTATGTAATGTCACCCCTGTGAACCAGAGTGCTGGTGGAGCCAGCTCAGCATACAGGCCTGATTTTATTAAACTGGCTAAATGGACAGGTTTCTTTTGTGGGACACTAGCAGATTCATGCTGAACAGGTTTTGCTTTCCAAATTTACCACATAACAAATTTCCTAAAAACATTCTTAATCAAAAGTAAATTGGGGGGAAAAAAAAGTAAATTGGGATTGTTCATTCATGAATCAATCCCCCAAACCATGGAACTCAAATATCGGAACTTGTCATGTTGCCTGGGCAGTAGAAAATGGCTTAGTGAGTTAAGTACTCACAGATTCAACATATTGGGGCAGCCAGCATCAGACCCACTTCCATGGCTTACCTGCTTCTTTGCCTGCAATCACTTAGGCTATATAAAGGTAGAGATTTCTTCCCTGACTTCATAGGCATCTTTCCTTTTCTACTCTTCACCCCACAACTCGAGTTGATATTTTCACACATATATATTTCTCCTGTTTACAAATTGGGACACGGAAATATAAGTTTTACTGCCTTCATGGCTAACGAATTTCTAGAAGCAGAAGCAGACAGTAATCACAGGTATCTGGCTGATGTGATCAACATGGATCTGAAGTAGTGATCAAGATGGAAGGGTCAGGGATATACAGGTTGGGGATGTCATGGGGATATATGCCAGGGATATCTGAGACTTTAAGGACAGAGGAAAGTGGGGAGAGAAAGGCCAGCTTTAACCAGTTCAACCATGGAGAGGTTTGCATAAACCGGCGGGGGGGGGGGGTGTCTCTCTGGATCCTAATCACACATTTATTCACATTTGCTCCATCCCCAGCCCTTCTCTCCAGAAACAGGGATAAGGTAACAGTTTAGCTGTAACCACAACAAGCAGGGAAAGACAATTGTTTCTGAAGACTAGAAGAGAAAATAAATAATCAAGTGATTTTGAATGGTTGTTAAGGCATAAAGAACAAATAGTTTCATGTCCTGTGAGGGTTTTAGGGTGTGCCCCATAAATGTTTCATACAAGCTACCATTTAAATAATAGGCACAACCAGATGGAGCTTGGGGAGTAGAGCTGATTTGTGAAGCATCATTACTTATGTGGTCTAGTCATTCTTCAGCTTAGGTGTTGATAAAAATAAGCTGGGTTGGGATATTTATTTAAAATTCAGAGACTTCTTCACACACCAGGGCCAGGAATCTGAATTTGTAACAAGTCACCCAAGTGATTCTGATGAACCACAGTTTGAAAGATGCTATCATAAGACTGCAGAGTACTACGGATGCAATGGTGATTTGGAGCTAAAAATGAGTTCATGTTTGACTACAGGACTACAGACATATTAAGAAAACTAAACGAGGGAATTCCCTGGTGGTCCAGTGGTTAGGACTTGGCACTTTCATGGCCAGGGCCCGGGTTCGATTCCTGGTCGGGGAACTAAGATCTCTCCAGCTGCGAGGAAAGCTAAACAAGTCAAATCAGAAGAGCATAAATACTCTTAAATTCTCCAGTGTTACCAAATAACTGTGAAGATCACTATATTTTATAAAGAAAGCAGAAGGAAATATTTAATTCATTCCATCCATTGTAATCTCTGTGCCACCATATTAAATTTTAGCAGTCTTCCAAGAATGGCCTTCCCAAATCTCTCAAGCATTTTAACTATCAACCTCAGAAGATAAAATTTCTATTTATCTTCCAGGCCTCCATATCACTGGACACAAAACATTACTCTACATGACAAGTCACACTTAAAATAAGAGCTACTATTTATTGAGTGTCAGAGACTGTTTTTATATGCAGCATCTTGTTTAATTCTCACAATAAGCCTGACAGGTAGGGACCATTATAATCTTCATCTTAGAGTTTATGAAACTGAGGACTAAGCCTTAGCAGGTTTAAGATGTTTGTCCAATGGATGGAAACCAAATTGTGGTGGTGAGCATGCTGTAGTGTATACAGAAGTATAAATATAATGTTGTACACATGAAATTTATGTAACGTTATGAACAAACGTCACCTTAAAAAAGAAAAAAGAGGGCTTCCCTGGTGGCGCAGTGGTTGAGAACCTGCCTGCTAATGCAGGGGACACGGGTTTGAGCCCTGGCCTGGGAGGATCCCACATGCCACGGAGCAAATAGGCCCGTGAGCCACAACTACTGAGCCTGCGCGTCTGGAGCCTGTGCTCCGCAACAAGAGAGGCCGCGATAGTGAGAGGCCCGTGCACCACAATGAAGAGTGGCCCCCACTTGCCACAACTAGAGAAAGCCCTCACACAGAAACGAAGACCCATACAGCAAAAATTAATTAATTAATTAATAAACTCCTACCCCCAACATCTTCTTTAAAAAAAAAAAAAAGAAGCTTATCCAAAGTCACATGACTAGTAAATAGCAGAGCCAATGTTTGAATTCAGATCTTTCTGACTCCAGAAACACCAGCTCCTAAAGCTGTAAGCAATTCTGTCTCCACTGGAGTCTTCGTTCACACACACCCTATGGACATGCACAGATAAAGCAAATGTCAATACTAATTGCATAGCTTACCAAAGATACACAACCCCAGCAGAGTAACAGGTCTATTTCATAAAAAATGACATAAGATCAAAATGTAATTATGCCTCTCCAAAATATAAATAAAAGTCGACATCACTATCCAGGGCTTGCCATTCTTGCTAGACATGCTTTAACTATGGAAATGGTAATTCTTGTTGCTAGCAGGTAAACTTTTTTTGTTCAGTGTAGCTTCCACCTGGAACCTCCAATGCGTCATATTTTCTGACATATCTTCTTTTTTTTTTAATTTTTAAAAAAAATTTATTTTATTTATTTATTTTTGGCGGCATTGGGTCTTTGTTGCTGTGCACGGGCTTTCTCTAGTTGTGGCAAGCAGGGGCTACTCTTTGTTGCGGTGCTTCTCATTGCGGTGGCTTCTCTTGTTGCAGAGCATGGGCTCTAGAGCGCAGGCTCAGTAGTTGTGGCGCACAGGCTTAGTTGCTCCGCGGCATGTGGGATCTTCCCAGACCAGGGCTCAAACCCGTGTCCCCTGCATTGGCAGGTGGATTCTTAACCACTGAGCCACCAGGGAAGCCCTGACATATCTTCTTATAACCACCAATACTTAAAATTTTTTGTTGCTGTTGAATACTCCTAATACATTTAGCCTCCTACTGAAATTTCTGAAGCAAACAAAATAATCTCTCCCAGCCACTCACTAGTACACACAAACCCTAGAATTCTAAAAGAATACTGACCACAAAAATCATAAAAAGGACATGTCCCAAAATAGTATTTTCTTTTATGTAGAATACAAAGCCAATCTAAGAATCTAAAGATCTCATAATCCAGCCTTTTTCCTTAGCGAAGGAAAACCTCTTTACCCTTTAAAACAGCTAAAGTTTTAGCACCCTCAGATCCTGCATTTGCTCCTTTACTTTTAGGTTCCTTCAGCATTGTAAACTGGTTTGCTCTGCCTCCATCCATGATTCCAAGGAACATTTTGTATTATGTTGTGTATTATATCCATCTCTGCTGCTAGACCATAGGCTCCATTAGCACGGGACCACATCTATTTGGTATCTCTTACAATAACCATAGTATCTGACGCAAAGAAGGCACTTAATAAATGCTGTTGAATGAATTAAGGGATGCGTGACCCATGAAACTTAGTGGCTCCTAGAGCTTGGTTCTTTCTTCCAACCTCACCAGGAGAATAGTTTGAACTTTAGTGGATGCCTCTTTCTACTTTACTTCACTTAGGATTGAAAAGCCACTGGTTTTGCAGACCATCACCAAGAATTTGGACCAGCTCCTCTCTACTCATCACTTTGCAATACCTGTCAGATCACTGGCTCTTCCCCTTTTGGAGTGTTAGAGACAACTCCAGTAGGTGAAGGCAGATACAGCCTCCAAACTGGGAAGGGAAGACTGGATACAGTGGTGGGGGATGAAAAAGTGAGAGCTTTCTGCTGCCTGCTTTTCTCTTGTGAACAGAACAAGTAAGAATTGAGAGAAGCAATGGGACTCTACTGAGCAGCTAAGGTATAGCAGGAAGGTACCAATCATCTAAGGCAGGATGGCCAAAGGGGGCCTCGTCTGGCTGCAGCCATTGCAGACTTTGTTATGTCTGGAGCAGTTGGGGACTTAGAGGGCAGAGAGACCCTTATCCCCCTGTCTGATGCTGGGGACCCAGATGTTGCTGAAAAGCCTTTCTTCTTCTAATTCAGAATTATCTACTTAGGGAAAGGTTTCTTTTATATTTATTTCTTCCCCCTCTTCGGTTCCTACTCAGGTCACATCTAAATGTAAAGTCAGAGCCAAGGGTGGGTGAATTCTGAAATCATCCCAGCATAACTTCTCTTAGAATATACCTTTCTTCCTTCCCTTCCTATTTCTTTCATTCTTTCCTTTCTTCCCTTCCTCTCTCCTTCTATATTGTGACAAGCAAAATTACTCATTTCATTTTTTATTCTCTCAAATAGCACTGGCCAAAGGTCAGCACTTTAACAGACTTGTAACAGTCGATCTGATATTTGGAAAGAGGACTTTAGCAATCCAACAGACTAGAAATCTTGGTTTTTGAATGAAGAAGATGGTATTGTAAGAAAAATTGTCAAATGATGGAAAAGGAAAACATCTCTTTGCAAATAGCTAAATCGTCCTAAGACCTGGAGTCGATTCTTCCACTGTAAAGAGACTTCAGTCTGATTTCAGGTAACATTTAATGCTTCCTTTTTAAGCACTGTCACACTGTTCTTTTAAAGCTGTCCTTTCTTGTCAGCCATCCTCAATAGATTTTTTTTGTCAATAACTCCATATGGTGAGGGTGAGCCTAGAAGTGAATTCGTATAAAAACCATTATTTAACACAACGTTTCCCCCTTAGTTTTAGCTCCATTACATCAAAACATCACTGTTTTAGTTAACTTCTCAATTGTATGCCTCTCCTGTCTGTCCCATCCCACTCCAGGTTAAAGGAACCTTTCTCATGAGTTGTACTTCCCGCACTGCAAGTGCAGCTTCAGAAAATGTCCCTGGCCTATTGCCTATCTCTGAGCCCTGATAATCTCACTTCGTTTGGGGTTTAAATTATAGCTTTCTGTTGGTTGTTCCTTGCCGTAACTTTACCTGTGTGGTGATTCTAATAAATCCCCCTTTTATTTAGCTAGTTTGAGAAGATTGCTGTAGAATGTAATAGGAAGTAAAAATAAGTTTAAAAAAATTTAAGAGACCACCTAGGCACTCTAAATGTGTTCAGATTTCCGAGCTCTATTGAATAATACCCGAGAGTCTTGAGAAAATATGCAGTTAAGTTTGCACTGTTGAACACCAATGGAAATCCTTTCTGGAATGAGTCAAGGGATATAACAAATAAATAAACAAACATACAAGGAAATAATTTATTTCTAAATATATGTGAGTATAAAATCAGGCCATAAACACTCTAGTTATATTTCTTGGGATTAGGGGAAGAAAGGTGGATTCTGCAAATTATACGGTTGTAAATGAGATACCGAACCTAGATAATATTCTAGAAAGTGCTATGTAGTGGAATGCCCATTATATCCTCCCATCCCTGTCCTCACTTTAGAGGACAATTTCTGCCTACAAACCCCAAAAGAGCAGCCCTCCATTATAGGGGAGTCCTTGCCCCTCACCTGGTGGCATTGCCAGCGAAGGAGGCCATGTGCTTTTTGTTTCCATACCTGATTGTCCTTACTGCACTTGAGTTCTGTGAAAGACCCCAATATTTGTCCAGTTAAGTTCCCTTTTCTCTTCAGCTTATCTGAGTGGCTTTATGGTCCTTGGAACGAAATGAAATCTGACTAAGATAAGCAAGTGAAGGAAAGATCTGCGTGTACTCAAAAAAAGGACCAAGTAATCGCTAGAAGCCAGCATGGAGTTCCTAAGACTAGCCTAAATCTATTTTTCTTTTGTAACAAAGTTAATAAACTGATAGCTCAGTTGCACTGTGGCCTTTGGATGTGTTACAGATCTCTTGTTTTTACCTGCCAAGTATCTATTTGCCTTCTTCCCTTAGTAGTACTCCAGTGTTACTTTGGAAAGCTAACAGCCTTTGTATGCAATCCTTTTTTCTATTGCTTTCTTAAATTATTTTCAAAATATATTTGATATATACAAAAGAATAATGTAGCATCTATGTAAGTTATAAAATGAGCACCTGTGAGTCCACCAAGAAGCAAAATGTTAGCAACACATTGCCTCCACCTAAATAATTCTGTACTAACTCATCTCCCTCCTGCCTCCAGTAATGCCCCCTTCTCCCCACAGCATGTAACCATGCAATCTTGGTGGGAGGGTCAAGCAAAGTGTCCTCTTCTACTTTGGCCGAAGAGTAAGCATAAAACTTGGATAAGGGCAAGTGGACTCTTCCATTCCACTCTTTTTAGTGGCACAAAGAAGGGAAGGAAAAGAGTTT